CTCCGATATTAATTTTACTAATTCATGCCTCTCGAACTTCTTTCCCTCCCATGAGCCACGCTGGTTTCACTCAATTCCTCCCTTTCCTTTTCCCTCAAACGAGTCCCACACTTAATTAACCGATTCTTCCACTCTGTGTTTCAACAATCTGCGATTCAATTACACGTATTTGTTTCAATTTTTTGAACTTAAGAACTTGAAATTAGATCAGGGTGAATCTTAGGAATGGGACTGTAACTCAGGAAATCAAGAATGACAAATTTTGCTTCGTCGGCGTTTTTTTTTTTTTTTTTGAGAAAAATTCGAAGAATTCAGTCAAGGTTAAATCTGCACCGAGCTGATAATTATTTTATAGATAATATTAATCACTGACTTCCGATATGATTGTCAGTTTGTTATAAAAGCACAACTTGAGTTTATAAATTGCGTTATTCTCTGCGACATAATTAGTTCAAATTCAACCAAGTGCACAAACGGTCATATATTTAGACAAGTATAGAGCAGAATAAAAATGACGGAAGAAAATAGGTATTGTATGCTTCATGTATTACGTTCCAATAGTTATTTAATTAATTATTATGTAGTTATTCGATCGATCCATCATGAATTTTATAGTCCTGCGGGGAGTAACATTGACAAAAAACCTATAGATCAGGACGACTATTTTATGGGCCTGGCCGTTTTATCTAAAAAACGTAGCCCAGATCCTGATACTAAGGTTGGTGCGTGTATAGTGAATGAAAAAGGTCAAGTTGTAGCTCTCGGATATAATAGTATGCCTAGAGGTTGCGAGAGATTCTCCTGGTCTAAAGATAAATCTAAACATCTATTAGAAAGAAAAACTTTCTATGGTAAGTTGAAAACATCTTGTTCATATTTGTGTTTATATTCATACCTTGTAATATAATGTAATATTGTATTAAACTAACGATGATATCAAATTTGCAGTGTGTCATGCAGAATTTAACGCCATTATGAACCGGAACTGTAGTCTTGAGAACTGTACCATGTATGTTACTCTTTTTCCATGCAATGAATGTGCCAAACTAATAATACAATCTGGGATAAAGTCAGTTCAATACATATCAGATGAATCTGCAGAGAAAGATCAATATAAAGCTTCAAAAATAATGTTTTCCACGGCAGGTATTGCACACAGGTATTTAAATTTAATCAGTTTTATTAGACTTGTATAAATGTATTGCTAGGAATCGTAGGAATTCAATTGTGCCATTCATATTAATCTGTTTCCTTAAAACTTGTCAGTATGAAATTCGATGTTTAACAATGTTATAAATATCATTTTCAAGCCAATACGAAAGTACCAAAACAATAACAGTTGATCTTTTTGAAACTGATGACAATTCTGATGAGAATCAAGTTGCCAATCCTGAGAATCCAGATAGAAATGAATAGAAATGAGATGCATGTAGAAAAAGATTTTTATTTCAAGCACAAAGTAAGTAATAATAATAACAAAAACTTTCCGATATATATATATATATATATATATATATAAATACATTATGATAATAATTTCATTTTTCCAATTAACTCCTTCAACGTTTTGTTTTATCTTGCATATATTTTGCATATTAATTATTTCCAGACAATGACGAGCATACTCGACGAAAACACAGTAAATGAATTTGCTGCAACATTGAGTTAAATTATAATAAAATGACAAATTTTTCTTTGCGTTTCTTTGAAAAAATTTCTAATTTCATTGGTATTTACGGTATTCACAGAACTTAACATTTCAATTTTTGAAAATTATTCTGCAAAAAAAAAAAAAAAATCGTTAAAAATTTAAAACGTGGAGGAAAGAATTTTCGTCAGTTCATAAGAAGAAGTAGAAAATCAAATATTTGCAAAATTAAAGTTATTAGAGATAAATTTTAATTTGTTTTTTGCATTGTATCGATCGCATCAGAGATTTCTCCGAACGATTTCCATTGTTTTCAAGTGTCATATTTTCTTTGTTTGTCTTGTTGCCTTGAAATATTCTAAAATGTGCTAAAATTACAAATATATATATATATATATATATAATTTTTACAACAAATAGCAAAAGCAAACTTGTTTTTCTACATGACGAGTACACTCGACATGAACGCTTAAGGGGTTAATATCAATTACTTTAACACAAAAATTACTCACAATTTTGCCAGATGTTGTCTCAATGTCTATTAAAAACTAAACGAGAAAATTCTTGAGTTGACAGATATAATTCTTCGCAAATTGGGCGGTGAGCTGGCCAATTGATAAGCATTTCCGCGTTATCGTGACAAATGGAACAGAGAAACGAGCCTCGAAGGTGACGTAAGATGGCATCGATGCAATCGAATCGAGCCACGATAACGAATTTGCTCTTGTTTGCTTCTTCATCCGTATCATTTAATTATGCATGTACAACGTTCGTCCGGCGTGTTCAGCGTCTATCTGCTCCTTTTGAGAAATTCAACATCCGTCGTTTTACACTTTGCAATTGGGACATACAACAGTCGCTTGTTGTTGACAACTTTGATGCAAGGTATAAACGAAAAACCGTGAAACAGAGGACCATTTAAGCAACGATTTGGTGATGTCGAATATATTAAGTTCAGAAGGTTGAATGATTTGACACTAGAATTATCGACGACTAAAAAAGAAGAGCATAAAAGTCAGACACGTTGAAGTAAAAGAAACGGGGAAACTCTACAATGCAAACGAGAGTTCACGAGCGTTTCATGCATTTTGGAAAAAAATCATTTAAGTCGCTTTAAATTTGTGAAACTTCTAACAGAAATTTATGAATCGATCAGCCATTTTGATAGTTCTAGCGTTAATGTGACTTTTTCTGAAAATACGCGAATTATATAAATTATATTAGAAATTATAAATTGTACTCATCTTAACTCAGTAGCGAAATCTTTCTGCACTGTCTTTTGTTTCTGCCAGAAACAAATTTTCAATTGTTGCCAAAGTTGTCATTGCGATAATGTTTAATCAAATATCAAATTCCTTATCGATTCAAAGGCCATCGATAACGGGCGAGCGAAACGGGAAATTAGCATGTAATTATAAAGACACTGCGAGCGTTTCATTGTTACTGGAAAGTGCTTTTCAACTGGCATTATTCAATGCTCTTTTATTAAAATGATATTCATCAGTAATAAAGATATTTTCTCCGAAGTATCCTTCGATCCTCCGACTGTTGCATCCATAATTTCCCCGAAGCAAGAACAGATTAGAATTTACAACTTTTATCTTCTTGAAACATCCCGTGGGAATCCCTTCGAAACTCAGCAAGCACATTCGTCTCTTCGTGAGTGTCGCTCACAATCTGAAGTTTGTGAATTATTGCGATTCGTTTCTACAACGTGGCCGATCAACTTATCGCACGGGACATGTGATGGCCGCCCACGGAACGACGCGAGTCGCCCGATTCGCGGCAACGTGTGTTTACGAGCGATCGCATTTCGCTCGACTCGATCGCGAAACAGCGTCACCCACGCGATCAGTAAATTATACTATGCGATTTTAATTAACGTCGTGATCGCGCGCAAAATCGCGTTCCGATTGAGAACGTCGCCTATTCGACGAACCGATGTAGAGACACGCAGCATTCGATCGAAAGAGAAGATCGTGTTTATTCTCGTGCTGAAGTAGAATATCGTTTCACGTTCTCTCGAAACTACGAAATTACGTCGAAATTCCCGCGAAAGTTTCAAGTTTTATAAAATATCGAGAACTACATGATTGACTCAAAATGGTCAAAATGGCCAAAATGGTCAAAATGGCCAATTTATAATTTTCGTTCGGATATTTAACAGACAATAAAACAGTGTATCTCTAAAAGTTCAAACGATCTTTGATAAAATATAGTATAAATAAAAGCTTGTGTATTACAAGCTTCGTTGCATTATAAAGTACATCTACTTTACTTAAAGTTTTCTACTTCAACATCTCCGTTGGAAATTTGATGTTCCGAGTTTTACGTGCCCAATTGAAATGTCCGAGCATCACCGATTCTGAATTTCCCTCCAGCTTTTTCTTTCTTATAAATTACAGCAAACCATAATAACTGCAAGAATATCTGTCGTTCCTTCAGCAAATGACAAATTGTTCTCAGTCTGCGCGTGCGACTGAATAACGAAAAGAATGTTCACCCAAATTATGGAGTCACCCGGTGTATATCGCATCCAATACAGTTTCGCGAATGGCGAAACTCTTCTTACACGACTTCTGACTTCTCCAAAGCTCGCGATCGCGGTGCACCGCGTTCTAACAAATAGTAAAAAATTCAATTAACACCGAGTAACGTAACGTGCGCAATTACCGCACACGTTTTCAGCATGCGCCGCGATAAATTAGTTTTAATTACTTACCTTTTTTTTAATTACAGCGCGGATACGTTTCAGGTGCTTCATTTCGCTACTCGAAAGCACTGGCTCGTGCTCCGCCACGCACACGTTGAGAATCACTTTCGTGTAGAATTCATAGAAATTAGAACTTCACCGCGTCCCTCTGTTACCGGCAGTACGTTTTTCACAAGCACCGCTGTGAGTTCAACTCTCCCGAACGGGGGACAAAAAAAAAAAAAAAAAAAAAAAAAAAAAAAAAAA